GTAAATGGGTGGATGGATAGATGGACGGGGGACAGGGTTATGGAGGGATTCCTGGGCAGGCATGTGGCTGAAGATCATCGTTCTTCCTAAGAACACTCATTGGCATCCACAGTAGCCATCCACTCACTCCTGCTGCTAAAGGCTCCTCGCAGCTCCTGCTGTCAGAGATGTAATTACTGGGGCTGTAAGCCATGCCGCAGGTAGCAGGGGACAGATGAGAAACAGCACCTCGGGTTCAGGAAGTCCCTTGTGGCTTGCAAAGCACTTTGGTTCACATATGGCACTTCATCTAAGCGTCGTCAGAACCCCATGAGGGAGATTCTCTGGGGGAGGCAGAATAGTATCCCAGTTAGGAGCATCTCTCTACACCCAGCCTACCTGGGTTCAAATCTCAGCTCCAGCACTCTGAGCTGTGTTTCAATCTTGATCTTGGGCAATGTATTCCCCTCTGGCCTCAGTTACTTCGTGTGTTCTATGGGGAAAAGATTCTCGGTCACGTAAAGTGCTTGTATGGACTGATGGTAATAATCACAACATCGGCTGAGGGTCTGCCGTGTACAGGACCCAGTGCTAAGTATTTTATATGCCATAACTCATCGAAGCCTCATAACACCTATCGGGTGGATGCTGTTATTCCCTACCTCATGCCTTTTCTTTGAAGGTAATCAAACCGAAGTTCATTTGCTTTCCATTCAGCGGGGAGGTAAAGGAACCTGAACGTGAATCCAGAAATTTGCCCCCCTCTTAACCCCTTACACCATCTCTGAGAGAGAGAGTCTCTATAAAGCACTTAGAGCACCCAGCAGCTAGTGACAGAATACTGTGACGTGTCTCCACATTACAGAGGCTGCAGACAAGACCCAGTGAAGCTAGGACTGGCTCAGGGTCCCAGGGTAGTCTACTGAACCCATCGGTTCAGGGTGGTCTGGGGTCCTAAGTGTCCACCTGGCCCACACTAGTTGCTTAAATCCCACGACAGAGACCTCCTGAGGCTCCTGCTTAATCCTGACTCCCTTCTGGACAGAATGTCTGCATCTGTCACCGCGATTCATTGCTGAGAAAGCAAAGCCCATTCTAGAAGGTTCCAGCACATCACCTCCCCAGCCCCTGTCCCTCCAGCTGGGTGTCCACCTTCCCAGAGCACCTCATCCCTTTCCTCTTGGCCCTGAGCCACTGCACTGGCCAGAAAGAGCATACCCTCCCCCCTCCCAACGATGGTGCCCTGTGAGCCTCACTCAGCCCTCATGTCGTTCCAGCCGTTGGCTCCTTCTCCCTCCGGTTCCCTGAACTTGCACAAACACTTGTACACTGAGCAGGCAGGAGGACGGCCCTGCTTCACACAAAAGCCCCTTCTCCTTCCCTCCTGCTGCGGGCCTGGGGCCTCATCCAGCCCTGGGGAAGGCGGCCATGTGTTCTGAGGTCTCGCCTCGCCTCCTGCGCTTGGCTCTCGCTGCAGCTGCACAGGGGGAGCCCGGGCCCAGACACAGCTGCCAGCACTCTCCCGAGAGAGGCTCGCGTCACAGGTCACAGACGAGGCCCCAGCCAGCCCTTTCTGAAAAGACCTTGGGCCTGCTGGGTGGCTTTGGGCAAGGGGCCTTGCCCCTCTGCCATTTGCTCTCTTTGTAAAATGGGTATAATTCTCATATCTACCTCACAGTTGTAAAGACCCAAGGAGATATTGCTTGTTTGCTTGTTATTCATTCATCCGTTCGTGCAACAATTATTTTATTTATTTGGGGGAGGAGAGGTTTTTGCTATAGGATGCGTGCGTTCGCCAGGAAGATAGAGACAGAGAGAAAGCAAGAAATCACCCCCCCGGGGGATGGCCATGCCTCAATCCCTTCTCCTCCGTTCTCTTCTTGCGATCTTGGGCACGTATGCACATGTGCCCAGTGTGAGTTTAAACCACTGGGTCCAGGACTTATTTTAAGCCACGGGGTCCGGGATGTGAACTGCGATAGACTACATGGGACTCCAGTGATGTAGCCATTATGTCATCTGCTGGTCACAATTACTTTTTAGACATCACCAGGAGCCAGGCACTTTTCTAGCCAAAGCAGCACATAAAACATACACACCCCTCGCTCCTGAGAATTCCCCGTCTGATGGATGACGCCGTGTACAGAGCTCTCTGCTCACAGCTGACATGTACTAGATGCTCAAGAAATGGAGAGGAGGGCGGGTATTGTTTTCCTTATTCACAAACATTCGTGGTCCCTGCCTCTCCTCCTCCCAGTAATCACTGCTGAGGTCAGAACTCATGGGCAGGGGACGTGCTGGACAGCGATGCAGTGGTAAAACACACCACCCCCAGGGGCCAGCAGATGGCATAGTGGTAACATCACTGGACTCCCTCGTGGTCAACCGCGATTCGAGTCCCAGACCCGGTGGTTTGAAATCACCCCACACACATGTGCGTGCGTGCCCAAAATCCCAGGAGGAGAATGGAGAAGGGATTGCGGCATGGCCATCCCTCCTGGGGGTGATTTCTCACTTTCTCTCTGTCTTTCTCCCTCTGGCAAGTGTAGCCGCCCTAAGGAAAAAAAAACTCTTAAAAAAAAAAGAAAAAACAAAAACCTCCCTGTCGGGTGGACCCACATAGGAAGGCTCCAGGTTTGCACCCAAAGGCCTCCCTGAGTGCACCAAACATGCACGGGCCCGTGATCTGGTGCTAGCGGGGGTGGATCATGTATCAAGACCCTGGTCAAGACCCTGGTCAGGAAGCTGGCTGTCTCTCCCCCCACCACCCTCATTCAAGGAAAAAATAAATAGATTATCTTTAAAATTAAAAAAGAGAGAGAGAGGAAAAAAAAAAAAAAAAACTCAAGTCGGCAGATGGCATGGTAGTTAAGGCACTGGATTCCCACATGGCTGAGCACAGTTCAAGTCCTGGATCCGGCGCCATGAGACTCAATATTGTTTGTTTGCTTTTTATTTAGGCATCTGCTCGTGCAACATTTTAGTTTTTTTTGGGGGGGAAAGGTTTTTGCTATAGGGTGCATGCGCTCACTGGGCACATGTGTGTCATGCCCAAAATCGTGAGAGGAGAATAGAGGAGAAGGAATTGTGGCATGGTCAACCCCCCCAGAGAGATGGTTTCTCATTTGACCCCTTTCTCTGTCTCTCTCTGGCAAGTGCACATGCCCTATGGCCAAAAAAATAAAAGAACAGAACGCTCAGGGGCTGTGGGGATGGTGTGTGCTCCAATAGCCGAGGACAAGCAGTCCTGCAGAACTGAGGTGGGGCAGCAAGCACGCAATCTTCCCGATGTGTCATGTCTCCTCTTGAGGCATCACATGCACTCTGTTCCACCCCATAAAGTGGGTCCCAGTGTAGACATAGAGCTTCCTCCTGCATCGTGGAAGAATGGCTTTTCCCAGTGGCTCCAGCACCCCTGGCTCATGGCTCAGGGCCCCTGTGCCCCGTGAAAGCACCTGGGACTTGGGCATTTATAATCAGTTCCTGGCCAACTGAGAGGTAGCTGGGAACCAGAAGACGCTACCATTGTCCCCAGTTACAGCTGAAGGAACCAAGCCTCCTAACAGGGAAAGGCATTTCCCAGGGCCCCGCAACCAGAAGACAGGAGAGCCTGGATTAGAACCTGGGTCACTCTGACCCCAGAACCTGTGTTCTTACCTGCAGCCTAGCCCAATCCACCCACAGCCTGGGCTCTTCAGAAAGAAAGGAGAGAGCGCCCCCTAGAGGAAGGGGGAAGAGCACTGGGCTGAGAACCGGAAACCACCCATCTCTGGTCCCTGCTGCCCTCTTGTTCTGTGTGGTCGGGACAAGTTCCTTTCCCACTCTGAGCTTCGGTTCCTCACTGGGAGGTGACATGAACCCAGAATGCCTCCAGCTCCAAAATGCGTAGGAGGGTCACGATGGGGGAGCAGGGACGGGGGCAGGTGCTCAGTGCTGTGTTACCGTCCTCTCCCCCTTCCTCCCACTGTCCTGGACCCAGCATGGACAGCTGTCCACAGCTGCTGGGTGGGGCCGGTGCAGTCCCCGTGCCAGGCCCAGCCGAGCTCAGCAGGGGCCCTTTGTCACCCAACGCTTGCTTGCTGGGGCCTCGGCAGGGGTGTTGGGTGTCGGGAGGATTGGATTTCCTCCTGGCAGCCCCGCAGATGCTGATGCTGCAGTCCGGGGTGGCCTGGCAGGCAGGGGAAGCGCGCCCTCCTCCCGGCTGCAGGAGGGTCGGCTGCTGTCCGTGGTGCTGGTGTGTGGGGCCCCCAGGTGAGGGCTCCATTGACCGTGTCCTCGCTGGGGACCAGCCTCTGGGGTCGGTGACGCCCTGGCGAATCTCATGGGCTGGCCCCTCAGGCCGGGATGAGGGCCTCGATTAGCGTGGTCGGGGCTGCTGCAGAGGGGGGCTTTCTCCCATCTCCACGCGGGTGAGACCCCAGTGGGGAGAGAGAGTGGGGAAAGGAGTGTGTGTGACATCGTCCTTCTGTGGCCTGGGTGGGAAGCGTGTCTGTGTGGGCCTGCAGCGGGTGAGGGGCTGCCCCGTGTGTGTGGGCACGGGCCATGTGTGCGGCTGCCTTACTCGTGAGAGAAGAGGAAGGGCAGCCAGGTGTGCTCAGACCCAGGCGTGCCCTGAGCACAGGGCCTTATGAGGACAGGACGTGGACGTCAAGGTGTGCCCCCAGTGCGGCTGTGTGTGACAGCATGTGCAAGGGGCGTCTGTTGGAATGGCGTGCAGTGGATGTGCGTGTAGGGGTGTGCGGGCCGGCTGGTGCAGACACGTTGACTGTGCATGTTACGCAGACAGCGTGTTCCACGGCACAGCGGACAGTGCGGTGAGGGTGTGTGATGAGCTGTGTGTTACGTGGCACGCCAGGTGGGTACCTGCACCGCTAGGATTCGCAGCATGTACTGGTGTGTGGTGTTGCATGAGTCACCCTTGTGCGTGTGAGTTACTCGGGGTGTCCTGTGGGCGCCCTGGACCCTCTTGAACGCCTGTCACTGCCTGGCCCTCATCACTCGCTCTGTGCTTGTCCCCACAGGAGCCACCGCCCCTGACCATGTAGACACCACCTCCGGGAGCAGCATGGGCCCCACTGGATGGAGACTCCTGGGTCTACAGCCCTGAGCCCCTCCGGCCCCTGGACTTCACCCCACACCCGGGGACACCCCTTGGAGCTCACCACCACTGTCACCAGCCCGCCTCGGCCACCACCTCCCCTGGGGACCCGGAGTCGGCCACCTGGAGCCACAGCCGTCCAGTGAGGGTGTGCTGAGGACAGCCACACACAGCCCCCACCTGCAGCCTCTGGTCCAGTGCTGAGTCTCGGGCCTGCCCCGAGCAGGGGCTGTGGCAAACATGGGTGACATGACCAACAGCGACTTTTACTCCAAAAACCAAAGAAACGAGTCGAGCCATGGGGGCGAGTTCGGGTGCACGATGGAGGAGCTCCGCTCCCTCATGGAGCTGCGGGGCACTGAGGCCGTGGTCAGGATCAAGGAGACCTACGGGGACACCGAGGCCATCTGCCGGCGCCTCAAGACCTCACCTGTCGAAGGTAGGTGTTGGGGACTCAACCCGGGGGCCATATTCACCATACCCCACGGCAGGGGCATCTCAGACCTGGGCCAAGGTGCCTGGGGGAGGGGCTTGGCTCCTGTGGTCTAGCTGACTCCGCCCCTTGGGATGATCAGGGGCGGGGCCTCATCAGGCTGGGGTCCGACCGGAACCACCTGCAGAGAGAGCTGCGGGAAGAGAGCAGGGTCAAGGCAGCTTTCTGAAGTCCCAGTGCCAAATCGGCCCAGAGGGTAACTCATGACCACCACAGTGGCTGGGATCATTTTCCTGGACATCTGGGGAGCATCCGATCTCGGAGGTGGGCTACAAGAGGGTAGCCGGGAGGGCCTCAAGGCCCCCACTTGGTCCTCAGGGGCTGGACTCAGGGTTCCAGCCACCCAGCCCTTGTCCTCTCTCCCCAGGCCTAGAATCCCATTGGCTGGGCTTGCCTGTGGAAAACCGACCCTGGCAGCATCAGCCCATGGTAGCTGCCCAGCCCCAGCTGCTGGGCTGCCGTCGCGTCCGACTTCCAACTCCAGACCGGTTAGGAACGGCGGGGGCTCAGGGGCAGCCTAGGGCAGACAGGACACTGGGAGATGGGAGTGACAGGAAGGGTGGCCAGTGCCCTGTGTGTCAGGTCTGGGATCTCAGGGAGGGTTTGAGCTCCTGGGAGCTTTTCCAGAAGGGGCTCAAGCGAGGTCACTGCTGTGAGGCAGAGGAAGGAAGCCAGCAGCTTGGGCTCCAGAGCTTAGAGTGTAGGTTACCTGCTGCAAATGATCTCCCATGATCCTGAGGGGAAGGGTTCCCCCACAGGCCCAAAGGCACAGGCGCGAGGTTCTGCGCTCACACTCCCCAACCCCGTGACTTTGTGCTGAGGCTCCACCAAGCCTCAGTGCTTGGAAAATGGGCCAGCACCTACTTCGCGACGCCAGTGCCGGCCTAGGCCTACAGCAGCCACTCAGGAAGTGTCAGGCGTGATCATTCCAAACGGAGGGGGTTCACAGTCTCTCCCAAGATATAGATCACGCCCGGGGGGCAGGTGACATCCAGATAACGCCAGTGGCAGGGGAGAAGCCTGGCTCCTACTCTAGCCCCCACGCGCTGGGTGCCAGAGGACGCTAACCCCTAGTGCCTCGCCTGCCGGGGCTGTTTGTGGCCCTGGCTGTTCAGCCGGGACCCGCAGGACAGTCTAATGGTCACGTGTGCCCACGCCCCACTGTGCCTGGCATCTCCCCGGCATCCGCGTCCCTCCTTATCTGCTATCTTGGATTAGGAACCAAGTGATCTTCCCACACTGGACCCTCCTGGGCATCTTGCCTATGGCCCGAGCCCAAGCAGAAGTTTAGAGACAACTTTTCTTTCTTCATGGCTTTGGTTTCGTTTCAGTGGGGAGGGTGGGTGTAGAGGAAGCAGGTTTTCTCCTCAGTGTGGTTCTTGCTCAAGGCTGGAAAACGGCCCCGTGTGGCCCTAAGACCTCTTGAGCTCTGCTTGGGGACTTACGGGCCCCAGCCCTCCCTGGTGGAGCCACGCCTGGCCGGCTAGGAGGCAGGGGTGCCTGGGTACTCTTTGCCTTATGATTGGGGGCCTGGAGATGCCTTGAATCAGGAATGCGTCTGTATCTCTGGGCCCCCGTCCCTGGAGAGAACATGGAGGAACTGCAGGCTCTCTCTTGAGGAGGATGATCAACCACAGGTGACAGACATGGCTCACACAGCGTGGGTTTCCAGCCCCCTTGATACCAGAGCATGGGCCCAGGCTAAGCCGCTTCCTGCCCCTAGAAGGCTCTCTAGACATGGGCAATCAAGAAGCACATGACCAAGGCCCATCGCGGCGCTCCCATGTGTCCTGCTGCCAGAGACACGTGTCCCCGAGGGCAGGACCCTGTCTCCTCCGCACATCCATCACCCAGCCTGGTACAAGGCTGCATAACTGCCCAGTGAAATGCAGATGTGGTCACTGAGTCCGCAGCCCTCAGGGAGCTGCTCTCAGATAGCAGGTGACAAAGACTATGTACAGCAAAAATCAGGGAAGGCTCCCTGGAGGAGGTGTTTAGAATTGGCTATGAAAGGAAGAGAAGGGAAAGCAGGTATTGTGGCCTATAGCAGCATTTCTTAGAGTCCCACGGAGTGCTGGACAGGCAGTCTGTGAACAATACAGGGCTCTGTTTTCTCATCTGGAACGTGGGAAGAGGAATGGCAGCCCCCCGTTGCTGTGCCACCTGTCGGCCATGTCCTTTGGGCCTTTCTACTGAACTCCCTGGGCCTTGGTTTCCTAATTTTCCATGAGATCTCTGCCAGTAAAAGTCTCTGAGAAGTCCCCATGATGGGAGCGTTGGTCCCCAGAAGGATCTCCCCGCTGCTGGGAAAGATGGGGCTAGAACAGATTTGAAGAGGCATAAAAGAGCACAGTGCTACAGGCTCCAGGCTTTGGTAACCAAGGTTCAAATCCCAGCTCTGCCACTTAGCTGCTGTGGGACTCTGGGGGAACGACTCAACCTCTCTGTGCTTCTAGTGCTTCATCTGTCTGTTAGGGAGGACCTGTAACAGCCGTGACTCGCTCACAGGGCCGGCGTGAGGGCAAAGCGGAGTAGCTTAGAACAGCGCCCAGCGCGTGACCAGGCAGTTCTGTGTCACGATTCGGCCCCAGAGACTCCACGTCCCCATTTCCCCTTTAGTCAAATGGGTCGTCCACACCGAACGAGATGAGGCCAGGTGCCCAGCGCCAAGGGCCCGATTCCACACATGTCGGTGCCGGTTGTTTCCACCATGAACATCAGCGCTCAGGGAGAGGCAGCCTCACTGTCCAGGTGGGGTGGGTCGGGGCTCTTCTGGATCACTGGCTACCGTCTGCACGCCGTGGTCCCTTCTGACCAAGCTGTTCTCGTGCTCCTGGAAGCAGGTGTCGTCAGCCCACTTACAGACGGGGGGCCCGAGGGTGCAAGGCCACCAGCCCTGCAGGGTCAGAGCAGGCTGCGAACACTCCCACTCACGACACCACGCCCAGCGTGCCCCCCGCCAAGCACACGCACCCGGGAACAGTCCCCTGAGGTGTCCGCTGGCCGAGGCCTGGGAGTCCTGGGTAGGCTCTCCCTCCGGTTCGGCATCTGTCCTGTAGTGTGGCCCTTCCCAGCCCCCACGGCCCCCTCGGGGACTCAGCCTGACCATCCTCAACCTCCCTGCCCCCGTCTGCTGACGCCAGACCTCTGAGTCACGCTGCAGGCAACGCTCCGGGCCACGCATAAATTAGCCTTCCTGTTCACGCCCAGCTAATTTCAGGCAAAAAGAGCTCTGTGAGTGATAGATGAGGTTTGCGGGCCCAGGAAATCAACTCCCACCAGGGGTGCCGCCTGGGACTGTCCATCTGGAGGCCCAACTTGGGTAACATCCCGTGGGTCAACCCAGGTGCCCTGGAAGGTCAGGGGCAGACTCAGCCCCCACCTGAGCCCATTCCGTTCCTGTCCACTACTGATCCTGTCCTGGTCTGACAAATGCCCTTCTGCTGTTCCCTCTCTTTCCATGCCCTTCCCGCTTAGGATGGTAGAACCCCAGGGGCCTGGGTTTGAATCTTCAGTGCCTTTCTCTTTGAGAGATACTAAGAGAGAGCATCTCAGCCTCTCGGAGCCTCAGTTGACCTGTCTGTGAAATGGGGGAGGAATCACACCTCCTTGTGGGGATGTCCTGAGGATCCAGTCAGATAAACCACAGCGCGAGGCAGACCCCGGGCACTTACAAACGCGGTGTGTTAGCGTGGGTGCTGTCATAGCAGAGTGTCACTTTTAAAACACAGTCCGTGTGGTCCCCACCCCATGAACGACCTGAGCAGCCATGGGGGCTGGCGATGGGGCCTGGCATGGGCATGGTGCGGGAGGCCGAGGCAGGAGCCGTGGGTCCCCAGCACCTTGGTGCAGTGCCTGGGGACTTACGGAATGGAAAGAAGAGAGCGAGTAAGAAAGGGGGCTAGGGGATGCCCTGGTGCCCCTCCCTGTGTGGGACCAGAGGCGGCAGGCCTGGGGGCAGGACATGGGACACTGAGCGTCACCCACAAGTACCTGTTGCAGTCCCCCGAGCCCAGTGTGGGGCTGTCCTGAGTGGTACAGCACACGCAGCCCTTGTCCCCGGTCCTGACCCTGTGTCTCCGGCAGGGGCAGCAGCAGCAGGGTGGGAACTGGATACGCAGAGCATCGTGAAATGGAACCTCCGCTTATGTCACGTGACTCCCCCGGCCCGCCCATGCGGAGGCAAGACAGGGGCTGAGGGAGGACCAGGAAGCAGATCGCAGAGATGGGGGTGCTGGGCGTTGCACGTAAAGGGGACAAGGAATGAGAGCACCCCATCATCCGGGCACCAGCCAGGGCATGGCAGCAGTGACAGGGCTTCCGTTTGCCTTTACGGTGCCCTGGCCCTCGCTAGCGCTCTCTCCACAAAGCAGCCACAGCCTCAGCGGTGTCCTGGGCAGGATGAGGCCACGTGGGCATTCGCTGACCACCCAGAAATGGGGGGAACACCCCCCCCAACCCCAGGTCTTCACAGGAGGTGGCCCGTGCTCCATTTGAAGGCCCAGAACTGTCAGAGAGAAGGCTTGGAGAACTACTTACCAAGTATTTAAGGGGTGAGACAATGGCAGCCACCTGTTCAGATTAACTCTGGGAGGAGGAGGCAGCACCAAGGCTGAGGACCCGCCAACCTCCCCTCTGGGACCTCTGTAGGTTCGTGACCGCAGGCATGAAACTTAGACCCTCCTCACATCGGTTTTCCCATCTGAGATGGGAACTGAGCCACTTGGGCTCCCTGGGTTTGGAGACAGTGAGTCAGAAGTGCTTTGGGAACCAGCAGTTAGCCTAATGGCTATGTCGCTGGACTCCCATGTAGTTAACCGTGGTTCGAGTCCCAGACCCGGTAGCTTAAACTCACACCGAGCGCATGTGCATGCATGCCCAAGATCCCGAGAGGAGAATGAAGGAGAAGGGATTACAGCGTGGCCATCCCCCCTGGGGGGTGATTT